ACAGGGTTGGGGATGTGGCTCAGTGGTTGAATGCTCCCAAGTTCAATCCCCAGTAACCCTCACCCTGCCCCCCCCCCCAAAAAAAAAAAAGAAAAGAAAGGCAGGCAAATTTAGTTGTTAGCATTGGCCACTTTCTGTGGAATAAATATGCCCATAATACTCTACTGCAAACTACAAGGGATGAGAAAAATTGCCTCTCATGAACTGGAAAGAACTCCAACATGCCATTGAAGAGTAGAAGGTACAAGTTAAGGTGGCTAAGTCAAATAAACACCCAGAGATCAGGCAGGAGGCATAAATGAGGGAAGAGGGCCTGATGATGTAGAGGTGAAGTGAAGAGCTCATTTGTTCCTCATTTTTAGCAGGATCAAATCAGCCAGAGCTGAGGGCAGACATTGGAGTGTGTGTCAGAGAGGGCCCCTATCTCAGTGGTCTCTACAGTCTGTGCCTCTGATTCCTTTAGCAATTGAAAATATGTCAGTGTCAGACCCTACCTTCAGAAATGCTGATTCAGTTGGTTCAACATAGCTCTTGGGCAGCACTATTTTTAAAAGGTTCCTTAGTTCAGTACTATTCTAATCCTAAATGCTTTAGATCCATGACCTCATTTAACCCAATTCTTCCAACAATCCTAGAAGGCCTAAGTCTCATTTTATGGGTGAGGAACTGGGACTCAATGGTTAAATAACACTTCCAAGGTCACATAGCTGGTAAGTGGGGGAATCTGACATAACCTTAGAATCTGTTCTTACTCCCCATGTCATTGAATCTACCTCACAAGGCCTCTGTGAGGCTTAAATGATGCAAGTCTTAAAGTGCTCCATTCATGGTCTGAAACATATTAGGGGATAAATAAAGGTTAACTATCATCATAACCTTATAATACCAAAACAAAATTCTTACCAATTTCTTGTCTACCCAGTTCAATTTCAGGTAAACATTCATATTTTGGGATTCACTTACTTCTTCTATTCCCCCTCCCCCCAAATATACATACACTCTGTCCAAATGAACCACAGCAGTCATCCTTACAACCTGGATAGACTTTCCAGGGCTTGTCATGCTTGACGTCTGCAAAGGGGAAGAGAGAGGACCAGAGTTCCAGACTCACTTGGAGAGGGTGGTGATGAAACTTGCCTGGAATGACACCCCAAAGGACAAGCCAAAGCTCACTCTGTACTTTGGTACATGGTGTTCAACAAAGAAGTTTTCCATGTAACTGGTCTGTAGAGGAGACAGGAAACAGAAAAATAGACTAATGAGTGTGTATAGATTAGGGAGGAGCAGTAGATCTGCGTGTTGAGGATCCTCATTTCTTTCCAGCTGGTCACAATTTGTTGATATAGACACAGGAGCCACTCCAAGGGGAAACTGAGCAGTATACTTGGTCCTTAATATTTGGGCTTTGGAGTCAGAGGGAGACTCCTACTGGCTTAGATGCAAGGCAAACTGACTGGGCTGGCACACAGGTACTGAGTTGCAATCTCTCAGAGGGAGAACTCCAGCATCTTTCACTACCAATCACCCTCACAACTAATGGTAAAGGTTCTCAGCTTTATCCGGTGAAAGTTTTGAATACCTCCAGTGACTGAATTTACAAAATGCAGCAAACCACTGCCACCTTAAATAATTTGTAGAATAAAAATAGGATATAAAATTGTTGAGAAGGGAAAGTTTTGACCAAAAAGTCTACCTAAAAGGTAATGCTAGCATTCTTTCTCAATAACCATAACTTACTGAACTTTTGTATAATAATAAAGTTTAGAGACTAAGAAAGGTGGGAAGAAATAGAAAAAGACCAGTGAGGCCTACAAAGGGAAGGCAAAGGTCAAAAATTTCAGGCTAAAAGGGAAAAATCTGAGATTCAATCTCTGTGTTCTCAGTTTACCCATAGGGATAAATTATTAGGGTAAATTCTTTGGGGTGACATGCACAACTAGCAAAGCTAAATATTTATAGTCACTGCCATCTTAAGTTTTTTGATCAATTCATTTGATGCTTAACCAACACTATATGTATGACCTCTTGATTTGTTTTGTGCTGCTTTCAAACTCTTAAAATATTTAACTTTAAAGTATTTCTTATGTCTGTGCGGTAAATGGCTTTATTATGTGCCTGTCCCCCATTCTTCACTCTGAGGGTCACAATGTTCTTAGTGCATCCACTGAATCTTTAACACACACACACACACACACACACACCCTTTTTGAAATGCCCTTGGGATATGCATTCTGTAAATGAACACTCAACATGTTTATAGTGAAAAATCTAATGGCTGAGAGCCCAGCCAGTGTAAACACATTCTTTCTACTTCTGCAGGTCTGCACTATAATGACAAAGGATTGCTTAGATTTATAGAGGAACAAGACTGGATTTTTTTTTTTTTAAATAATAGCATCCTGTATTTAAAATCATCAAGTGAAAATTCTTCGGATTTTTCGCTGCATGCAACGTGAAGCCCTGAGTGATCTAGCCTCCTGGTATTTGATGCAAAACTGAACATCAGACTCTGGGTAATAAGCTTTTAGCATTGGCACCTGAAGCTGTGTTGTGGTCATACACCACCGTCTACACTGCCAAATTCAAACTCAGGGATTCTCAGGCCCATAAGGAGAGAAGAGCATCCTCAGGCAAAGGAGCAACCCCAGGAAGCACAGAGTTCCCTTCCTCTAAACTTCCCTTTCCAGAAACAACCCGAAGTAGAAGCGTATTTGTATACAGGCAGAGCCCTACGTCTCCAGACCTGCACACGTGGACTGAGGATAGATATTCGGAGCAAGGGAGCTAGGGCACAGACCACGCAGGGTGCTTGCGGCCAAGATGTGTGTGCCACTGAGTGTGTACGTGGTAATTTCTGGGCCGCCGCCGCGAGGCCCGGCCAGGCGCGGCTTCCAGAGCAAGGACAACTGGGGGCTTTATTCCTTCAGTGCCGAAGCAGATGGCGAACCAGGGAGAAAAGAGGCTGCATGCGGCGACTACCATCCGCCGATTCCGTGGCGGCTCGCGCAGAGCCTGAAACAAGCAGTCAGGCTCCCGGGCCGGGTCTGCCGACTACGCAGACAGCGCGCCTTAGGGACAGCCTTACCGCCTCTTCAGTAGTGCTAGGAGAGGCCGCCACGCTGGCCCCGCCGCGTCCCCCAGCCAACGCCGGCGGCCCCAAGCGCCCGCCACTCTGCAGCGCAGCCAGCCCCACTTTCTATTTAAAAATAACACCCACGTGCGCTGGTAAACAAGCGCGCGCGGCCGCCGGGGCCGCGCGCCCAGGGTGAGCCCGTGCGGAGCGCGCACCCCTCCTCCCGCACGTGTCTTCTGGCTCCGCCCGCCCAGCGCCGGTGATACCTTGTCACCGCCCCCTCAGCCGGCCTGGCCCAGCCCCCAGCCCCGAGCCCTGAGCCTGCTGCCCCCGGGTCCTAGCGCCGGGCGTGCACGGAACGCTAAGTTTCCTCCTTCGACTGTTGCTCACCGCGGCGGGACCTGCCTTCCCAGGTCTGCCCTCTCCTTTCCTCTCCGGTTCTCCCTCGTCCCTCCTTTTAATCCTCCTGCCGTCCGCACGCGAAGGACTCCTTCTGGAGCGCCCTCTTTCTCTCCTCCTTCCCCTTCTTCCTCCTTTCGAATTTTACTCGATTGTTTATTATTTGCTGGGGGGGCGGGGGTTGGGGGCGGAGAGGGGCATCTGGGGCCTGGAGACTGGTGCCTGTAGCCAGTCAGCGCACAGCGTGGCTTGACGAGTAAGCGGCGCAGCGAATGGAGACGCGGCGCAGAGCTCCGGGGTCACGCGCGTGTGGAGACAATGACATCATCTGTTTGTACGCGTCAAACTAGCTTGGTGCAGGGGCGGGGCCCCGCGTCACTTGAGTGGCAGGCCTTGGGCAAAGCCCGGAGCCCGGAGTCAGCTTGGTGGGCGGACTCCTGCTTACGCTGTGCTGCTGGATCTTTTTGTGTATAGGGCAATGTTGCGGAGCCCGCTCCTAGACTCTGGAATATCTCCAATGACTTAGGTTTTATTTTAAGAGTATTTATGAACCAAAGTGGCTAGACTTTTGGTGTACATATTGCATGTAGTACATTCTTTAGGATACTAATGAACGATCTGGAGCACGCATCCTAAGGACTAGCGAAGATGATTTTTTTTTTTTTGAACCTAAAGGCACATTTCTTTAAAAAGTCAGAAATGCAGTTAACTGGTTTTGGTGTCATTTTTACAGATTAGAATAAAATTGTTTCCCACTTTCAATTGTGCGGTATCTGGTCTTGCGTTTAGGACTGATGAATAAAGTGCTTGTACTAAGTTACTCTTCTCCCTTGTTTGCCAAGAAATCCATAAAAAAAGTGAAAAATGACTGTGGTCGAGTGTCCAAGGTAAGGGGACTCAGTGCACACCTTTTGGTGCTTAATCAAACCTGAGGGAATCAGCTTATCGAAGTCTTGCAGGCACCAACATCTTGGCGGGTTAGTATTTCCACGCCTAGGTAACCCTTGCCATCTGTGATCAGCATCTTATCTAAGGTGTTACCTAGTGTCGGGTTCTAAAGGAGAATCGGATACTAGGGGGTGTTCACAGCCTGGTGGGCGGACGCGCAGGCCGGGGACCCCAGATGCCCGGACTGGGCGCCCAGAGTCTGGGAGGTCACGTTACGGCGCTCAGAGGAGGGTTTGGGGATCTGGGTCCCTCCCTCTCCCCTGCCAGCGCTGTGCTTTGTTGTCCGTGAGGCTCCTGGAGGGAGGAGGAGCCCAGCGGGGACTGCTGCTGGAGCCCGCCGAGTTCTGGCCGGCTGCGCGCGCCCTGACACCCACGCCCGCAGCCCCGCGGAGCCTGGCCGCGCAGGCGCGCGCGAGCACACACGCGCACTCACACACGCACGCACACCAGCACACTTGGGCCCCCGCCCCAACCCTCCCCCTGGGCGGGGATCCGCCCGCCCGCTCGCCGTCATTCTAGGTTGAGGCTCCCTGCGTGTGTCTATAACTTTGTGCTGCTGCCGCGGCCGCCCTGCTCGTGGAAGGGAGGAGGAGGAATGTGGAAGGCGGCGGCGCGCAGGCTGACAGGCGGTTCCTTGGGCGGGCTGCAGCGGTGGCCCGAGCGCCTCTCCTTCTCCAGGGTTGCACGTCCTCTCTTCGCCTGGCCCCGGACCTGCGCGGGATTGTGCGTCCTCCCGCCTCGTCCCTGAAAGGGAAGGAACCGAGGTAGGCGCCGGAGCTGTGCAGCGGGGCGGCCGCCTTCCCGGTGACTCCGGATCTGCTTCCGAGCTGGGCCAGGCTCTTCCCTTTTCCCTCCCCGTGACTCGGTGTGCGCGCCCCCCTTCTCTCCCGCTAGTGTTTTTAAAGGACTTGAGGGAAGGGGGAAACTGTCAAGATGGCAGCAGCGGGAGCGAGGAGGTGATGAACGTGCTGGTCCGGGTTTTCTGGCAGCCCGGGAGACTTGGCACTTCCCGACCTGTTGGAAGATTTATGTTCCGTCTTGCTCCCTCCTTCCGACCCTGACTGGGAAGGGGGCGGAGGACACCACGTCCGCGAGAAAATAAACCACACAAACCCTCCGAAGTAGCCGTTCAAACAGGGCTCGACCCTTTGCGAACACCCTCCGGCTGCTTGCCCCCTTCTTTCATCTTTCTTTTTTTGGAAGTGACAAGGGCCTGTTTGAACTCAGCCCTCTGTTCGCCTTCCCTTTCCTCAGCCCGCGGGCGAGGAGAGAAGGGAACTGCCCGCGCCATCCCGGTGCTTGGGCCACTCCGCTGGGAGGGGTTGATAGGGGGATCGCGGAGGCGACAGGGCCGTGCAAGGGGAGAAGAGCCTAAGACGCCACGGACTTAGGCGGCTGCGCCGCGGGAGGTACTTGAGCGGGCCGGAGCGAAACATAAACAAACGCACGCCCGCACGCCTGCCTGCCTGCTTGCCTGCCTGCCCGGGCTCGGGCTCCAACCGCGGTTCGGCTGCGCCAGCTCCGGCCGCTGCCCACTTTAAAGGCGCGGCCCGGCCTCCCGCCCTACCCCGCCTCTCCCCTCCCCCCCCTTCTCCCCGCCCAGCCACCTAGCCCAGGAGAGACCTGCAGATCTGGCGGCGGGGGAGGGGGCTGCCCCGTGCGAGGCCGTCGATTCGCTCACATCTCCCCAGCGGCCTGGCCAGGGGGCGGCGTCTGCTGCGCCAGGTTCGCGGGACGCACGTCCCCAGGTCTGCTTGTTCCTGGGAGGCAGGCGCGGTGAGGTCGTGAAGCCGCGGCAGCGGCGGGCGAGGACTCGCCAAGGACTGGGCTCCCGCCCGGGATAACCAACTCTCCTTCTTTTTCCTTTCGAGGTTCCTTAGGCGGCGGCAGCAGCGGCGCCCGGGAGCCCGAGCCTTCGCGGCGCCTCCGTCCCTCCCCCGCCGCACCCCGCCCGGGCGTGAGAGGAGAGCGCAAGAGTCCTAGCCGCCGGCAGGCGGGCGGGCAGGCGGCGAAGATGGCAGAGGCACCGGCCTCCCCGGTCCCGCTCTCTCCGCTGGAAGTAGAACTGGACCCGGAGTTCGAGCCCCAGAGCCGGCCGCGCTCCTGTACGTGGCCCCTGCAGAGGCCAGAGCTCCAGGCGAGCCCGGCCAAGCCCTCGGGGGAGACGGCCGCCGACTCCATGATCCCCGAGGAAGAGGACGATGAAGACGACGAGGACAGCGGTGGCCGGGCCAGCTCGGCTATGGCGATCGGCGGCGGCAGCGGGAGCGGCACGCTTGCCTCGGGGCTACTCCTTGAGGATTCGGCCATACTGCTGGCTCCCGGAGGGCAGGACCTCGGGTCCGGGCCAGCTCCCGCGGCGGGCACGCTGAGCGGGGGGACGCAGTCACCGCTGCAGCCTCAGCAGCAACTGCCACCGCCGCAGCCGGGGGCGGCGGGGGGCTCTGGGCAGCCCAGGAAATGCTCCTCACGGCGGAACGCCTGGGGGAACCTGTCCTACGCCGACTTGATCACCCGTGCCATCGAGAGCTCCCCGGACAAACGGCTCACTTTGTCCCAGATCTACGAGTGGATGGTGCGCTGTGTGCCCTATTTCAAGGATAAGGGCGATAGCAACAGCTCAGCCGGCTGGAAGGTGCGTACTCACCAGGGGCTGGCAGCCAGACCGCCGGGCCTCCTGCGCAGCGCCTGACGCGCCTCGAATCCGTCGGACGCAGCGCGCCTAAGGGCGCTGGGGAGAGGGTTGGTAGGGAAGCCTCTGTTGTGAGGCTTTGGAGGGTTCTGTTTGACCTCTGGAGCAGGGGAACCTGGGGATAGCCTCAGAGAGGGAAGGAGTCTCCCTGGGAAGCCTCGGGCGAGACCAGGTGAGGAGGTGGGGGGCAAGGTTCACAGACAAGGGAAGGAAGGATGAGCTGGAGTGCATTTGCTGGATTATCGGGACAGCGGCGAGGAGGTAGGTCCGCGGCCAACTTTGGAATAGAGTTTACTGTAGCTGGTTGCAGCGAGGACACCGTGGGTGGAGAGAAGGGGTGTGTGTGGGGGGTGGGAGGAAAGAGATTTTCATTTGGTCGCAGGAGCTGAATGAGAACCTCGGAGTCCCAAGTTTCGGACTGTGGGTGTTAACTCCCACAGGCATATCCATCCCCTTAAAAAAAAAAAAAAAAAGGCAATGATTGCAAACCTTTTTCCGGCCGGCTCCCTTTCCTTGCCTATGCTGACACCTTTACTCTTTAGAGATATCTGTCACTTCACTCAGCTTGCCCCCGTGGAGCCTCTGAAATGTTCTGGGACCTGGAACAGATCAGCCTCGCCACCTGAACGTGAACTGGCCGCACCTGCTGCTTCGGACAAGGCCTGGACTTTGGCACTATTCGAGGCAGGTGTGGGCCTGCGTTTTACTCTTCTGTTGAGAGGGAGGTTAGATGTCAGGGCTGAGCCTTAATGGCTTCTTCCTATATATGAACCTGAAGAGAGGTTCTCTACAGTTCCTTTTCAGCCTCTTGAGGCATCGGACTCGTGTTAGAGAGAGAGGTGTGGAAAGGCCTATGATGTAATGACTTCCTGCAGTTGGGCATCCGAAGAGATTAACTCCTCTAGCCTTGCTGAGCTGCTGACATCCAGCGCTGTGCTCTTACTGGGCACATTCCTGCCCTCTTTCCCTAAGATAGGAATGTGTCAGAACCAGGAAAAACGGAGTCCTCCGTGGTCATGGGTACACATCGCTTATTATAAGTCCCTCTTATTGGTAGTTTAGTTTGTTTTTAATGAAAGAGGTCCTTGCTTCCCCTTTCTGTCCCTTCCTCGTTTTTCATTGGGGGAGCCCTGTGTCTTTTTGGGTTCCAGACTTCCCAGGTGTATAAAATAAGGACAGTTTAATACAACTGAAGAACCGACTTGTAGCACCTGAGAGGAGTCTTAGTATGAAAAAGCTAAGGGATATAGAGTAGGGTGTATCTTAATTTGCTTTTAGGAAAATCTTGTTTAAAAAAAAGTGCCGTTATTTTCTTTAAACTGGTACTGTTGGAGAAGTCTTGTTTAGATACTTTAAAGCAAAATGTGTGCTTTGATGTTATTCCACAAATCTGTCTCACTTTCAAATGAGACAAATGCTGACATTATGAATCTTATATTTGATCTTATATTATTGCTTTACAAAGGAATGCCAGTTGTGTGATCTGAGAGTTGTTTACAGAAAGGATGAAAGTTCCATTTCAAAGTATTGCTAATGTGATAGCTTTTTAAAACTGGGATTTCCAAGTGGATGGCAAGGGTTAACCTCAGGGTACAGTGTTGAAAGGGGTGAGTATATAGAACTTGAGAAGATGGATTTGGGGGTTTGGATATTTTTCAAATTTCTCACACTTGAAATTAAGTCCTGCATGTTTGAATTTGGTGCAGAGACTGTATTAGTTAAAAGTTGCCTTTTATGTTAAAAATTAATGCAAATAGGAAAATTTCCATTTTTCCTATGTTTGTAAGATGACAAAATAACTTAATTTCACAAATAACATTTTTGCTATTGTGTTTATAAAGATAATAACAGTTTAATTTTATTTTTTTGAATATTTATGTGAGATATTGTGTACTAAAAGTAGCCATGAATTGAGCTTGAGCTATATTCTCATATAGTCTGCAGGATTTAAGTAGAGATTTTGGGCCTACTCATAAGTGGTTTTATGTCATAATAATTTGTGTGTGTGTGTGTGAGAGAGAGAGAGAGAGAGAGATGGTTTCTTTTTTCTTTCCTTGCTTTCTCATTTCTCTTCAATTAAAACCTTATGAAATACTGTAAATTGAAATTCTCAAGATTAATAAGTTTAATGTGGGCACACATTTATGGTTATTCTTACTTTAAAATATTTTTATCAGTTCCATTTCTGAATATCACATGGCAACTAATCCTTGAAGATAAAGGAGATATAAATTAGTTCTAGTTTTTGTAAGATGACCTTCATCAAAAGATGCAGCCATGCAGGAACTTCCCAATCTTTGATGATGGAGAAGGCCTTTGAAACTGGGGCTGGTTTCATATTCTGATTATGACTAATAGCTAACCATTTTTATGTTTGTGGTTTAGTGGGGGTGGAATAAGAGGGAAAAGGGAGAGGTCAGGAACTAATCGTGACCCATTTCCCTGCGTCCAAGTTGAGGAGTTGATTCCTGTCATGATTAGTCATTTTGGAAGCATGCATGTGCATTTAAACCACACTACTTTCATTCTGAGTTATGCATTGGGATTTTTAACTTCTAAAAATGTCTAGAATTCAGGTTAACCTCTCAGTGCACACGGGGCTTATAAGCCAGTGTAGGCCTTCTTTTGTGGCTTTTTTGGGCCAGCACTGTGAGATCCTGTAACCAGAATTAGTTCCTGAGATCGAATAATGAAGGAATTGGAAAGGAGAACTTGAAGATTGGAGTTCAGACCAGTGATTCTCAGCCCATGGTTGCTTCTTAGAATCACCTGGAAGCTTTTGAAACATACCAGTACTCAGAGCATCTGATATAATTGGGCTGGCATGTAGTATTAGCACTGGTGGATTTGTGGTGTCGTTGTCCTTGTTCTTATTTTGTTTAAAAGTTTCTCAGATAATCCTAATGTGTAGCCAGGATAAAGTTTGCTGGTCTAGTTCAACCCTCTTAGTTTATTGGTGAAGAACCTGATTCTTCGAGAAGTTAGTGACTTTTCTAAAATCACACAGCTAATTAGTACAGAGGTAATTAGTAGCTGCAGTTCTAGATGTCTGTGTTCTTTATCTTATTATTATTTTTTTAAATTGACCTTTTAAAAAAATCATTTACTAAGTAATGGATTCTTAAATTAGCCTTCCTGAATAGTACATTTGCCTCAGTCTAAAAACACCTTGGTTATTATTTCAATATCATAGGATAGGCCCATGTTGATGGGGGCTCAATGGATATGTCATGTTTGCATAGCTGCATAGTCCAGTGCTTGGGAACTACCAGAGTGATAAAAGTGACAAGAGAGATAGCATTTTAACAAAAAGAGGAAGCACTTGGTCACCATGCATCTGTCAGAGGCATTCTGTGCCAGGGAGAAGGATGATGGTTATCTTACAAGTTCCCTTACCTCAAGCATTAAAGTAGAAACAAATAATCAGATGTGGTTATGAGGGGAAAAGGTTACATTTCCTTTAATTCAGATTAAGTTTGCTCTCAGTACACCCATAATTGAACTAGTGAGTTCGTGGTTCCTCTTGTCTGAAGAAGACCCAAGCACTCCAGGGTTTCCCAGGAGGGCTTGTCACTGACTCCCTGTCCACACCTGCACTCTTCTGTTTCCCACAGGTCAGGGCGGGATCTTATTGGGTAGCCACGAGTGTCCTGTGGGATACAGCATGAAGACTGCTGTTGCAGAGGCAGATTTCTTAAGAGTCTGAGCCTTCCTTCATGTGAGAATACTTATTCTTATGGCTTCTTGCCAAGGTCAAAAGATGAGGGCTGACCTGCCACATGATGCTTATTTATGCCCTTACTGTTCTTGTTCTTTCGATCAGTGCAGCCAGTTTCTTTATAATATGTTGGATTAAGAAAGTGGTTTTTTTAACTGTAACTTTGTTTTAAAATTTCAAAATGACAAAGACATAATAATTCCACATTGGCTCATAATTTTGACCTCTTTCACCTTTTGGAGTAAGGACCACCAAAGGGCTAGAAATGGTTGTATGTGAAGAATCTGTCTTCTTGGCCCATGTTGCCAAAATGCTGTTTTGTAATTTCCTCTGGCAGTACTGTCTTTGTCAGTGATTCTCAACTAATATACTTCCTCTTTCTACAGCAGCAGTACACTAGGGGGACTGTTTTTCCTCTTTTTCAAAGCTGTGTCATTGACCTATGAAGTGAAGAAATTGGCCCTTTTAGACTTTGATCTGTGAGCCTATATAGCAGAGAGACTCTTTAAAAAAGAAGCTAAGTGTGTGTTTTTGTGTGTTTATCTCCTTCTTAGAAAATGAAATGAAACTACAGCAGACTTATTTTTAGGAGATTTTGGGAGGGTTCTATTTTAAGAAAATGACACCATAGAAGAACATCTTGTAGTTAAACTTTTTAGTACTCTGCTTGTGATTCTTACTTAAAAATCTACCAGATATTTTTCTTTGGAAAATTAACGAAGAGGTCTTGTTCCATTAAAAAGTCGTTTCCTTGGGCTGGAAAGAAACTCAGCAGACGCAGTCCATCTGAAGCTCTTGATGACAGTGTAGAGTGGAATGTTTAGGCCTGTGTATTCTGGTGAGTACCTCACTTACCCATGGCTGCTGCCTCAGATTCCAGATTTCCAGGGCTGGAAAGAAAATGGAATTTAATTTGCTTTCATATCCACTCATCATGCCTGTTAGGAACAGACTTGATCCTATTCTTTTTTCTCTCCTTTTCCTGCATCACAAATTGAGGGGCCCTGAGGAGCCACTTTGCCTCCCTGCTGCTATAGCAGAGTCTGGAGAGCATACATACAAAGGTGGTGGTTAGTATCCGTGGATGTTATCACTGGTGAATGTTTAGTGAATAAAAGATGGCAAAGAGAAAACCCTTTTTAACCCATTTGCATCACATCCTGTTACATTCATTCAACTAATATTTTTCAAAGGCACCTGTGGGGAGTATTCTGCTAGATTTCAG